AGGAAGAAAATGATACACCCAACTTTATAGGTGAATCTCAATTATAGTGGAAGAAGACAGACACAAAATAGTACATAGTGTATGATTCCCTTTATATAAAATGCAAACAAATCTATGATGACCAAAAGTAAATCAGTGGTTGCCTAGGGCTGGGGCAAAGGGAGGGATACACTGCAGAGATGAAATCTTTTGGAGATGATAGAAATGTGTCTTAACTGTGATAGTTTTGTGTATTTTTACAACTACCAAAAGCCAATGAATTGTCTTTAAATGGATGTAGTTTACTATATATAAATTACTTCTCAATAAAATTGACAAGAAAAACATGGCTGTATTTCATTTTGTTTATTGGTTTCCATTATGTTACATAACAACTTTCCAAAAACTTTATACCATGCATTTATTGGTAACATTCAAGTGTTCTCTTTAGAAAGTATTCTTGAGTATAAAAAGAAAAAAAGACCTATTCTTGCTATTATTAAGCAGTGTATCCAAAGTGCATGAAAATTCAGAGAACATACGATAAAATTATTTTTAGAGAGCATGTTAGTTACATTTTCAAATAACATGTTCAACGTTTTCTTCCATCCTCCAAACAACTTTTCAGGTGAAATACCCTGAAATTAAAAGTACTGGGTCCAATTGCTAAATCAGAGAAAAACAATTCACTACAGAATGTCTTTAAAAATCCAGAAACAGAGAAAATGGTATATTTATTTATACACTACAACCTAGCAGTTATCATTTCTGAACATCTGTTGTGAGTCGTGTGTGTGTGTGTGTGTGTGTGTGTGTGTGTGTGTGAGTGTGTGTGTATAATTTCACTTAATCCTCCCAACTTTATAGGAAAAAAATATATTATCTCACTTCAAATGGGAAAGATAAGATTAATTTGCCCAAGGGAGAGCTCAAGTGGCAGAGATGGCACTTGAATCCAGGCTTTCCTATTGCAATACTGGTATCCTTCGCCACTGCGCTATATTAGCTCTTCCCTATAAGTTAGAAGCCCAATAATTATTTTAATAAGAGCTTCAAGTCCGTTACTTCTTACAAGCATTCTGACATGGGCAATTTATTTTACCATTAGGGCTCAATTTCTTCATGTATAAAGGGGGGGGTGGCATTTAACGACTAACCATAGGTTTACTGTGAGATTTAAATGAAATCATGGGGATATTGCAGCTTAGTACAGTGCCTGACACAGTAATGGCTCAATAAGAGACAGCTGTTATTATTATGGTGCTTCCAAGCCATACACACTGTAGGATGGCAGCATAGCACAGGCTTTGGAGAAAGGCTATCTCTGCTCCCATTCTAGTGCCACCACCCCAGGGTGGGTGACCCTGAGAGAGTACTCACCTCCTTGCACCTCATCTGCAAAATAAGGATAACAGTATCTGTGTCATGAAGTCACGTAAAGTGGCTAAAATAGTGCCTGGCACTTAGTAAACAGTAAATTATTATTAAATTCTGCTAACCCAAGTTACTTTACTATCTACAACTGTGGATTTAACAATCATTGATCTAGTTTTTCTTCAAGCTACAATTTGGAGAACTCTAAATATTATTAAAGTTTGGCAAGTGATTTAGCAGCTTTCTATTGCATATTGGAGAAGAAGTCACATGTTATGCAAAACCTTGAGTCTAAACACAAGAAACACAAATAATCTGAGTTTGGAATATTAAAAGTAAATATACATGTAGTATATGATAGCCAAATATAGCAGAGTTCACCCCTCCGCAATGCTATAGGCAAATGGTTTCCAAATGTGAGCATGCATCAGAATCACAGAAAGAGCCCTAACCGGTTTGGCTCAATGGATAGAGCGTCGGCCTGCAGACTCAAGGGTCCCAGGTTCGATTCCGGTCAAGGGCATGTACCTTGGTTGCGGACACAACCCCGGTGGGGAGTGTGCAGGGGGCAGCTGATCGATGTTTCTCTCTCATCGATGTTTCTAACTCTCTATCCCTCTCCCTTCCTCTCTGTAAAAAATCAATAAAATATATTTTTTTAAAAAAGAATCACAGAAAGAGCTTATTAAAACAGACACCAGAGTTTCTGAGTAGGGCCCAGGAATTTCCATTTCTAACAAGTACCATCGTATCCTATATAATAAAAGGCTAATATGCAAATTGACCGAATGGCAGACGACTGGTCACTATGATGCAAGCTGACCACCAAGGGGCAGACACTCAATGCAGGAGCTGCCCCCTGGTGGTTAGTCAGTGTGGTCCCACAGGGGGAGCGCCACTCAGCCAGAAACCAGGCTCATGGCTGGAGAGCACAACAGTGGCAGGAGCCTCTCCTGCCTCTGTGGCAGCACTAAGGATGCCCAACTGCCGGTTTAGGTCCACTCCCCGTGGGAAGCAGGTCTAAGCTGGCAGTCAGACATCCCCTGAGGGCTCCCGGACTGTGAGATGGCACAGGCCGGGCAGAGGGACCCCCCTCCTCTGAGTGCACTAATCTCGTGCACCGGGCCTCTAGTTTCAGAATATATATTCAAGAACAGTTCAGAATATATATTCAAAGACTCTGTAAAAGAAATGTGCCAGGTGATGCTGCTGCTGATGCTGCTGATTGGGGGTCAGACTTTGAGACCCACTGATGAAGTTGGCTCTGAAAGCTGATAAAGAGGGCTTTTAAGCAACTGAACTGTTAATTAAGCCCAGCCAGGCGCGGCTCAGTGGTTGAGCATCGACCTATGAACCAGGAGGTCACTGGGATGCAGGCTCAATCCCTAGTGGGGGGCACAGGAAGCAGCTGATCAGTGATTATCTCTCATCATTAATGCTTCTCTCTCTTTCTCCCTCTCCCTTCCTCTCTAAAATCAATATATATATATAATTTTAAATTGAACTATTAATTAAAACCAATCTTGAATTGTAAAACCAATTCAAGACTAGGGGACAATAAATGTATTTGTAATGATGTTTCCCAAAGTTGGCTGTACACTAGAATCATCTTAGGTTTTAAAAAATACTGATGTTTGTGTCCTGCCCCCAAAGATTCTAATTTACTTGATATGTATCGAGACTTGGGCATTAGGAATTTTATAAGGTCCCAGATGATTCTAATGGTAGCCAAAGTTGAGAAGCACTGCTTTAGAAGGTCTAAGAAAAAAAGGCTCTTTTCTCTGTATCTAATATTCTTGCAGTTTCTTCAATCTACATTTGTTGTAAAGACAAACATTGACAAGATGGATACTTAAATGTCAGTCCCACAGTTTGCCAGTGCGCTGTGGTAAATGATTTTTGCAATCTTTCTCAACTCTGGCTTCACATTAAATCACTTTGAGCCTTTAAAAATAGCTGCCAAAGCCTCAACAAGCCCCTGAGGTTGTCAATCTGGCATTTTAAAAAATGCTCCCAAAGTTAAGAATCATGGCTATTGAGGTTTATAGGAATATAAAGGGAGAGGGAGAATAAAGAGCCAACTAGTTGCAGAACAAGGAAAATGCATGTCAAAAGAATGCATTCACTGCCCTAGCCAGTTTGGCTCAGTGGATAGAGTGTGGGCCTGCGGACCAAAGGGTCCAGAATTCGATTCTGGTCAAGGACACATACCTCGGTTGCAGGCTCCTCCCCAGCCCAGACCCTAGTCAGGCAGGGTGTGTGCAGGAGGCAACTAATCAATGTATTTCTCTCACATCGATGTTTCTCTCTCTCTTTCCCTCTCTCTTCCACTCTCTCTAAAAAGCAATGGAAAAATGTCCTCAATTGAGGATTTAAAAAAAAAAAAAAAGAATGCATTCACAAGCCAAGCAGGTAAGTTGGCATTTCAGTAATATAAGGAATAACACTAAAATGGTTTGCATCCCAGACAGGGATAGTATTTATTAAGTACTAAGTTTCAAAAAGTGCAATATGGATGGAAGAATCTGCAGTAATGCAAATGAATACAGATGACTTAATGTAAATAAAATTAATGATACCAGAAGAAAACAATATTATTACTGGTCACCACAACAATGAAGCCCAAATGAAAGCTGCACAGGACACTTTTTGGAACAGTGACTGCAATGCAGGAGAAGGAAAGGTATTTACCGGAGAACGTTCCCCAAGTACACAGTCTCGACGTGCTTCCCCCACCCCATAACCACCTCACTTAGGTTGAAAATTCCTGTTATACAGCCAAGGGGCAGAGATAATTCAAAAACTAAGTTTAAAATAGAAACCAATGTCTGAGAGCCAAACCGGTGCCCTGAAGAAAGACCTACCCAGAGTGCTTAGTAGATTAAGGGCTGGGAGAATTGATAGCAGTGTTTTGTATTCAATTCTGTTTCAAACACTAAATATACAAATCAATCAGTGTTACTGCATTTAGACATTTGAGAATGCTCTATGATCATTATTTATTTTTTGTACATTAGCATTATTGATGACACTTTCACATTTAAAGACTATATAGGAATTTTACAATACATAGAGTCACTCTTACCTGCTGAAGCAAATATAAACAAATACTCCCATGTCTACTTTTGAAAGCTGCACATTCCACTTAGCAGGAAAAGTAATAGACTACAGAGACTTCCCCAAAATAAAAAACCAAAGGGGGTGCTAAACTTTTCTGAAAGCCAGACTTTCATCACACAAAGGCATTTTATTGTAAGTTATATGCAAAGCAACTAAGTTCTTCAGAAAGTAAAAATAAAAATTAAATAGATCAACATTTAAGATATACTAGACCAAAAAAACCTGAATAAATATGATAAAGGTAATAATATATTAAGAAAAACCTTAAGTTAGAGCATCAGCCCACAGACCAAAGGGTCACGGGTTCAATTCCTGGCCAAGGGCACATATCTTGGTTGCAGGTTTGATCCCCACCCCTCCGTCAGAGCGTGAGCGGGAGGCAACCAAACCATGTGTCTCTCTGGCGATTTTGTTTCTCTCTCCCCCTCCACTGTTTCCCTTCCATTCTCTTTAAAATAAATAATCACTGGAAAGAATATCCTCAGGTGAGGATTAAAAAAGAAGAAGTAGAAAGAAAAACCTTAAAGTACTTAGGAAATTACTAGAATATGAAACTTTAATTTCCCTATAGTCAACATTTTATTTGCAGGAGGTTGCAGGTTGGTTAGTTGTTGGAAATGTATTTGAAAGTTCAAAAATAAAATAATTGCTTTATTTCTTTGTTCTATTTGTATGAAGTCACAGGATCTTTGTAGGTTTTAGCTGAAAGAAGGACAAAAACTTGAAAGCAGGGAAAGGGGAATGGAAGCTCAAGAATGTACCACTGAGAACAAAGTCACACTTGACCTCACTTATGACACATGAGTGGAAAGAGCGAACCAGCCTTCTTCATTTTGTTTCTCAATCTGTTGAACAAAGATGCAAAAAGGATTTAGGAAGTAATCAGAAACAGGAGACCATTCAAGTACATAGAATCAAAGTTACCCTATGCCACTGAGTGGTACTAAAAAGTAAATTGCTACTGGCAATTTTTATTTCTAACAGACACTCAACTGGCATCCTTGCTGATTTAGGAGACCTAATTTTTTTAAAAAGATAAATCCAGTATTTTATGCAAATCATATGTATACCTTTTAAAAATAACAGTCATTTGCCCTAGCCGGTTTGGCTCACTGGATAGAGCATCGGCCTGCAGACTAAAGGGTCCCAGGTTCGATTCCGGTCAAGGGCATGTACCTTGGTTGCGGGCACATCCCCCATGGGGGGTGTGCAGGAGGCAGCTGATCAGTGCTTCTCTCTCATCTATGTTTCTAACTCTCTATCCCTCTCCCTTCCTCTCTGTAAAAAATCAATAAAATATATTTTTAAAAAAATAACAGTCATTTGATTTTGTAAATTAAATCCTAATAAATTCCAGAAACTAAGAGCAAATTATACAAAATAGTTTAAAGCTTTTTTAGAGTACAATAAACAGCAAAGGGCACATCTAGTGTTGGACAATTGAGATATCTGAGTCTATCAATTAATTTGGGCTGCAAGTAGTACTCAGTTAATTGAAACATTCACTATTTGGTCTAATTACTAAAGTTAATAATAAGAACAGCAAAGATTTTTCCCCGTATCAGAGAGCAGTTAGCTCAAATTTGCAAATGTAATGTTTGTGATTTGAAAGATATTCTCACAATTTGCTATGACCAAACACTCAGAGGAACTATATTTTGCTGTATTACCAACACAGAGAAATGCCTTTTGCAAAAAAATTGGATATATTGTAAGATGCTTAGTTTCTATACAATCCTATAGTAAATTAGAACACATGAAAAATATGTAAGACTTTTTTTTACTCTTTGTGCATAACTCTGTACCCCAGGGGACCTCAGATATGGCACACTGGGGTAAAATGACATGGAAAGTGACCACCCCAGGGCTGACTATCCCAAGCCCCACCCAGCCACAGCAAGGACTGGGCACTAGTATCTCAGTATACCTACAAGGCGTTCAAGGCACACCTTCGAGGCCTGCCACACTATTTGGGAAGCTCTGCCTAAAGCCAGTAATTTCCAGTCTTTAAAGATTGTTAAAATCTTATTGAATTTTCTTATTCCTTAGTTATCCTAGAAAAGAAAAGTAGTATATGGCTTAGTTGTTTTTCTAATGAAGGTAAATTAATATATCTTTTCTTCTCACATTTTTATATCATCTTTAGAACAGCATAAATAATAATAAAGAATGGAAATCACTGCCCAGCTATTGTGGCTAAGTTGGTTGAGTGTTGACCCAGGCACCAGGAGGTCACTGGTTCGATTCCCAGTCAGGAGACATGCCTGGGTTTTGGGCTTGATCCCCAGTAGGGGGTGTTTCTCTCTCATAGATGTTTCTATCTCTCTCCTTGTCCCTTCCTCTCTCTGAAATTAATAAAAACACACACACACACACAAATGGAAATCACTAAAAATAGCCACCTTTCACCCTTGCCCTCCTGCCCCTATACGGCACACATTTCACAATTACATTTTATCATATACCTTTGCTCTTGGATTAACAGGTGTGAATCGCCCACTTCCTGAGGTGGCATTTAATGGAGAACAAGAATTACTAGTAGCCCCTGAAGATCTATTTGTGAGGAATAAAAGGGAGAGAGAAATCTGTCATTATTAATCTTCAAAAATTATGTAAGACTGACAATTCTCAATACTGGAACAAGCTTGAGAAAGTATGGCTGACTTAGATCCAAAGAAGGTAAATTATTTGCAACATATTTTCACCAACCTAAGATTTTTTTAAAAATTAATAGGCTTTCCTTTTTTAAGAGTTATTTTACTCTTTTCTTTTTTTTATTTTTTTTTTATTTTTCGCTAAAAGTATTACAAAGGGTATTACATAAGTGTCCTTTCCCCCCCCCCCCACCCTTGACAAGCCCCTGCCCTCCCTTACCCCCCAGTGTCTTATGTCCATTAGTTATGGTTATATGGATGCATACAAGTCCTTCGGTTGATCTCTTACTCCCCTCCCTCCTGTCCTCCAACCCTCCCTGGCCTTCCCACTGCAGTTCGACAATCAGTTTGAGGCAGCTCTGCCACTGTATTTATTATTGTTCGAAAGTTTGTAATGGTCTTAATTATCCACGAAAGAGTGAGATCATGTGGTATTTTTCCTTCATTGACTGGCTTGTTTCACTTAGCATAATGCTCTCCAGTTCCATCCATGCTGTTGCAAATGGTAAGAGTTCCTTCTTTTTAACAGCAGCATAGTATTCCATCGTGTAGATGTACCACAGTTTTCTAATCCATTCATCTACTGATGGGCACTTAGGCTGTTTCCAGATCTTAGCTATGGTGAATTGTGCTGCTACGAACATCTGGGTGCATATATCCTTTCTGATTGGTGTTTCTGGTTTCTTGGGATATATTCCTAGAAGTGGGATCACAGGGTCAAATGGGAGTTCCATTTCCAATTTTTTGAGGAACCTCCATACTGCCTTCCATAGTGGCTGCACCAGTCTGCATTCCCACCAGCAGTGCACAAGTGTTCCTTTTTCTCCACATCCTCTCCAGCACTTGTCGTTTGTTGATTTGTTGATGATGGCCATTCTGACAGGTGTGAGATGGTACCTCATTGTTGTTTTGATTTGCATCTCTCGGATGATTAGTGACTTTGAGCATGTTTTCATATGTCTCTTGGCTTTCTGAATGTCCTCTTTTGAAAGGTGTCTATTTAGATCCTTTGCCCATTTTTTGATTGGATTGTTTATCTTCTTTTTGTTAAGTTGTATGAGTTCCCTATAAATTTTGGAGATTAAGCCCTTATCAGATATGACGTTGGCAAATATGTTTTCCCACGAGGTGGGTTTTCTTGTTGTTTTGTTGATGGTTTCTTTTGCTGTGCAGAAGCTTTTTATTTTGATGTAGTCCCATTTGTTCAGTTTCTCTTTAGTTTCAACTGCCCTAGGAGCTGTATCAGTGAAGAAATTGTTTTGGCATATGTCTGAGATTTTGTTGCCTTTGTATTCTTCTAGAATTTTTATGGTTTCCTGTCGTACATTTAAGTCCTTTATCCATTTTGAGTTTATTCTTGTGTATGGTGTAAGTTGGTGGTCTAGTTTCATTTTCTTGCATATATCTGTCCAATTTTCCCAACACCATTTATTGAAGAGACTATCTTGGCTCCACTGTATGTTCATGCCTCCTTTGTCAAAAATTAATTGAGCATATTGGTTCGGGCCGATTTCTGGACTCTCTATTCTATTCCACTGATCTATATGTCTGTTCTTGTGCCAGTACCAGGCAGTTTTGAGAACAGTGGCTTTGTAATACAGCTTGATATCTGGCATTGAGATCCCGCCTACTTTGTTCTTTCTCAGGATCGTTGCAGCTATTCGGGGTCTTTTTTTATTCCAGATGAATTTTTGGAGAGTTCGTTCTAGATCTTTGAAGAAGGCCATTGGTATTTTAATGGGGAGTGCGTTGAATGTATAGATTGCTTTGGGTAGTATAGACATTTTAATGATGTTGATTCTACCAATCCAAGAACATGGTATGTTCTTCCATCTGTTTATGTCTTCCTCTATCTCTTTTTTCAACGTCCTGTAGTTTTCTGAGTAGAGGTCTTTAACCTCTTTAGTTAAGTTTATTCCTAGGTATCTTAATTTTTTTGGTGCGATGGTAAATGGGATTGTTTTTCTAATCTCTCTTTCTGAAAGTTCACTATTGGAGTATAGAAATGCCTCAGATTTCTTGGGGTTAATTTTGTATCCTGCTACATTGCCAAATTCATGTATTAAGTCTAGTAGCTTTTTGATGGAGTCTCTAGGGTTTTGTATGTATAATATCATGTCATTTGCAAATAAGGACAGTTTTACTTCCTCTTTTCCAATTTGGATGCCTTTTATTTCTTCTTCTTGCCTAATTGCAATGGCTAATACTTCCAGTACTATGTTGAACAGGAGTGGTGAGAGTGGGCATCCCTGTCTTGTTCCTGTTCTTAGGGGAAATGGTGTTAGTTTTTGTCCATTGAGTATGATGTTGGCTGTGGGCCTGTCATATATGGCTTTTATTATGTTGAGGTATGATCCTTCTATTCCCACCTTTCTGAGAGTTTTTATCAAAAATGGGTGTTGGATTTTGTCGAATGCTTTTTCTGCATCAATTGATATGACCATGTGGTTTTTTTCTTTCAATTTGTTTATGTGATGTATCACGTTTATTGATTTATGGATGTTGTACCATCCTTGCATCTCTGGGATAAATCCTACTTGGTCATGGTGTATGATCCTTCTGATGTACTGCTGGATCCGATTTGCTAAGATTTTGTTGAGGATTTTGGCATCTATGTTCATGAGGGATATTGGCCTGTAATTCTCTTTCATTGTGATGTCTTTACCTGGTTTTGGTATTAGGGTGATGCTGGCTTCATAGAATGAGCTTGGAAGCGTTCCTTCCTCTTGAATTTTTTGTAGTAGTCTGAGGAGGGTAGGTTTTAGTTCTTCCTTGAATGTTTGGTAAAACTCCCCTGTGAAGCCGTCTGGCCCTGGGCTTTTGTTTGCTGGAAGCTTTCTGATGACTGCTTCAATTTCTTCCATAGTTATTGGCCTATTGAGGTTTTTAGATTCTTCCTGTTTGAGTTTTGGAATGTTGTATTTTTCTAGGAATTTGTCCATTTCCTCCAGGTTGTCTAGTTTGTTGGAGTAGAGTTGCCCGTAGTATTGTTTAACAATCATTTGTATTTCTGTGGGGTCTGTTGTTATTTCGCCTCTATCATTTCTGATTTGGTTTATTTGGGACCTCTCTCTTTGCTTCTTGGTGAGCCTGGCTAGGGGTTTGTCAATCTTGTTTATCCTTTCAAAGAACCAGCTCTTGGTTTCATTGATTTTCTGTATTGTTTTTTTGGTCTCTATGTCATTGATTTCTGCTCTAATCTTTATTATCTCCTTCCTTCTGCTCACTCTGGGGTTTTCTTGTTGCTCTCTTTCTAATTCTTTGAGTTGTAGAGTTAGATGATTGACTACCATTTTTTCTTGTTTTTTGAGATAGGCCTGTAGAGCTATAAACTTTCCTCTCAGGACTGCTTTCATTGTGTCCCAGAGGTTTTGGATTGTTGTGTTTTCATTGTCATTAGTGTCCAGGATGTTTTTAATTTCTTCTTTGATGTCATCGGTAACCCAATCAATATTTAATAACATGCTATTCAGCTTCCAAGTGTTTGAGTATTTTGGGTTGTTTTTATTGTAGTTTATTTCTAACATTATGCCATCGTGGTCTGCGAAGAAGCTTTTTATGATTTCAATCTTCTTGAATTTGTGGAGACTTTGCTTGTGACCCAATATGTGGTCTATTTTTGAATATGTCCCATGAGCACCTGAGAGGAATGTATATTTCGCAGCTGTGGGGTGAAGTGTTCTGAAGATGTCAATTAAGTCCATCTGATCTAGTGAGTCATTTAGGATTGCTGTTTCTTTGCTGAGTTTTTGTCTAGCGGATTTATCCAGTGATGTCAGTGGTGTATTAAAGTCCCCTACTATGATTGTATTGTTGTCGATCTCTCCCCTGATATCTTCCAGAAGTTTTCTTATGTATGTGGGTGCTCCTGCATTGGGTGCATATATGTTTACCAGGGTTATATCTTCTTGTTGTATTGATCCCTTTAGTATTATGAAGTGGCCTTCCTTATCTCTGGTTATGGCCTTCACTTTGAGATGTATTTTGTCAGATAGAAGTATTGCTACCCCAGCTTTCTTTTCCTTTCCATTTGCGTGAAAGATATTTTTCCATCCCTTCACTTTCAGTCTGTGTGAGTCCCTTCTAATGAGGTGGGTCTCTTGTAGACAGCAGATGTATGGGTCATGTTTTTTTATCCATTCAGCCACTCGGTGTCTTTTATTTGGAGCATTTAGTCCATTTACATTTAAAGTTATTATTGAAAGGTACTTGTTTGTAGCCATTTCTTTTTGTGTCTGTGTGTGGCTGTTTTCTTTCTGAGCTTGATGTTTCTTCTTTTTACACCAGTCCCTTTAGCATTTCTTGCATGGCTGGCTTGGTGGTGATAAACTCCCTTAGCCCTTTTTTGTCTGTGAAGCTTCTTATTTCCCCTTCAATTTTGAATGATAGCCTTGCTGGATAGAGTATTCTTGGATTCAGTCCTTTGCTTTGCATCACTTTGTAGATTTCCGTTCATTCTTTTCTGGCCTGATGTGTTTCTGTTGAGAAATCATTTGATAATCTAATGGGAGATCCCTTGTATGTTACTTTCCGTCTCTCTCTTGCAGCCTGTAAGATTCTCTCTTTATCCTGAACATTTGCCATGGTAATTATGATGTGTCTTGGTGTGGGTCTTTTCGGGTTCACCTTGTTTGGGACTCTCTGGGCTTGTGTGACTTTTTTCTTCCCCACCTCAGGGAAGTTTTCTGATATTATTTCTTCGAATAGGTTTTCTAATCCATGTTCATCTTTCTGTTGTTCTGGCACCCCTATTATTCGTATGTTGTTTCGTTTCATGTTGTCCCAAAGCTCCCTTAGGCTCTCCTCCTGTCTTTTAATTTTTTTCTCCATTTGCCGTACAGTTTGAGTGTGTTTTGCTTCCTTGTCTTCTAATTCACTAATTCGGTCCTCCGCTTCTCCCAGTCTACTGTTGATACTTTCAATGGAGTTTTTTATTGAAGCTATGTCGCTCTTCATTTCTTCTTGGGACTTACTTAAGTTGTTGATTTTTTCATCTGTTTCTTCTAGCTTCTTGCATAAGTAGTTGAGTTTTTCATCTGTTTCTTCTTGCTTCTTGAACATCCGGTGCATGTACTCTAGGAACCTTATTCTGAATTCTTTTTCCGTCATGTTGCATATCTCTGTCTCACTTAGCTGCTTTTCTGGCGAGTCCTCCTTTTCTTTCCTTTGGGGGTTTCTTTGTCTACCCATGTTTGATCTCACTGACATGACTAGTTGTTGAATCGTTCAGTGGCTGGACCCTGGGAGGCAGTGGCTGCTCCCTGGGTGGCAGTGGCTCCTCGGGCTGTGGTTGCTCCTTGGGCGGTTGTGGTAGCAGCGGCTCCTCTGTTGATAGCAGAGCCTCTTGTGGGTGCTGTTCACAGCTGTGGTGGCTCTTCTGGCTGGTGGAGGGAGGCTTCACACACAGCAACTGTTCCCCAGGCAGAGCGTATGGTGATCAGGAGGCCGCTATTGCTTGAATCTGCTTTCCGTGGAGGGATGCAGGTCTCCGCTGGGCTCTTGTAGTCGCGCTGCTTGCGAGTCGTTGCCTCCGGGTTGGTAGGCGCTGGGTTAGTAGCCGTTCTCTGGATGCCGGTAACCGGTAGCCGCAACCCAAGATGGCGCGGTCTCGCCGCTGCGCTGGCGCTCAGGGGGAGGTTTCAGTCTCAATCTCTAACCATCCGCATTTTTTAGGAGTTCTCTGTCTTTCCTGGCTGCAGACTGCCTCTCAGCTGAGCCTCCCCAGCTTGATCGGGCTGATTGTTACCCGTTTCAGCTGCTCGCCCCTATCTGCTCCGGGATAAAGCACCAACACGTCCGTCTAAGCCTCCGCCATTTTCCCATTCTCCTTTTAAGAGTTATTTTAGATTTACAGAAAGACTTAGTATAAAGATCCAAGGGTTCCAATATATTCCTCAACCCCTCCTCCCAGTTTCCCCTTTTATGAATACCTCATACCAGTGTGGTACATTTGTTACAACTGTAACATTGATACATTATTATTAACTAAATCTATTGTTTACATTAGGGCCCATCCATCGTGTTATACATTCTATAGGTTTTGACAAATGTACAGTATCGTGTATCCACCATTACAGTATCACACTAACAAGTTTTTAACATTTAAGGGGGAAAGGGATGTGCAGGGGTGAAGAAGGCCCAGGCAGTGGAAGAGTAACAAGACCTGGAGAATGCAGGGCAATAGCAGGCATGCAGCGGAGACAGAAAGCCAGGTAGGTCCATCCCTAGTGTCACCATTTATCAACATGTGACACATGTAGGCAAATCACACAGGTAGCTCTATGAACTTCAGTCTCATTTTAATATGGGAGGAAAATACCAGTGGTTAATTTACCCACCCTGTCACATAGTATCTCCCAATTCTGTCACCCATAAAGCATTCTATATATGTGCTGTTATCCCATTTTTGGTTTTTCAATAGCCAACTCATACTTCCTACTCATTGAAGGCTTGTTCCTCATACCTCTCCATTTTCCCCAAAATTCTCCTCGCCGACTACTTTATTTTCTTTTCATCAGTGAGTCTGCCTGAACCTAAGTCAGATATCATGCACTTCCTTTTCTCATAAAGAGAATAAAACAGATACCATATTCTTGATTTTTTTTAAAGTAACTATTCCCATTGTAACCCTACCTTCTTGAATTTATTCCACTGATAGGAGAGACAGTACTGCATTTTGAGGTTTCTGGGGCTTCTGCTCCTGGAACAGATACTTCAATTGTCCTCTTTCCTCCTTCTAAAATATAAAAATAAACATTACTCCATTACCTTTTATTAAAATAAAAATTAAAAATATAATGACTTCTGTCTTACTTCAGATTTCAATATTATAAATTTGGAGGTTCTTTCTATATTTTTATCATTATGGTCCACAGACACACTTGGAGAAATTTTTAAAAAATGAGCTGTGAAAAAAAACTTTAGTGTTAGTGTCAATTCAGTAGCATGCCAGTCATAGAGAGCCAGAATCCTCAGACAAGTGGTATCATGTCAGATCTGGAAGTGAAAAACAGAAGTTAAGAGCTAGCCCTAAAGATCTTGAGATATTTATCAAAAGCAGCTTATCTAAAGTTTTCCCCCCAAAAAAAAGAAAAGAAGAAAAAATCTGAAGTCTTTCAGTAAAATTTTAAATCTTCTAAATCTTTTACATTACTCTTACAGAAGACTTTTTTTTAATCTTTCTTTTTTTTATATTTTATTGATTTTTTACAGAGAGGAAGGGAGAGGGATAGAGAGTTAGAAACATCGATCAGCTGCCTCCTGCACACCCCCCACGGGGGATGTGCCCGCAACCAAGGTACATGCCCTTGACCGGAACTTACTGAAGACTTTTAAATAGATGAAGAGCTCACCTGGCCAATGGCAATAATTATGTACATTTTCAATATTTCAGAAGTAAGTTATCAATCAACAGATATTTACTATTTACTAATGGAACACTTTATGTCCATCCCAGTCAGTTTTGCCAAAGCTCCCATAAATCATTACTTAAAACCAGTGATTTTGAGCTTTAGGTGGTAATGAAACCTACCCTAGAAAACAAAGAGGTTCTATGGCATAGAATTTTTACTTTTTAATTACAGCCCACAGTGGTTCCTTGTGAAGCCAAGAATTTTACTTAAAAAAAGAATATCTTAAGAATATAACCACTAGAATGACAAGAATACAAGTGCAAATTTACCAATTTGCTTTAGAACTTCAGACAAATCATATAACCTATTTACACCTCAGTTTACTTATTTATCAAACAAGTATGATATCAGCTCTGTCTACTCTCATGGTGTGTTGGGGATGAAATGAGATAACAAATGAAAATAGTTTTACCTTAAAAATCTATTGAAACAGAAGATGTCTTATTTAATCACAAAATCATTCTTAAGAGTAATCTGCTTTTTCTTCATTGTACTTAGCACTAACCGACATTATCTCATATATTCATTTGCTTATTTGTTTATGGCCTGCTCCTCAACTTGACTACTAAAGTTGTCAATCTGGGCAAGGACTTGTCCTCTTCCATGTGGTATCCCCAGTGACCAGAACATAGCAGGCACATAGTACGTGTTCATACATTCTGAGCGATTTAATTTATTTATTCTTTTTTAAAAATATATTTTATTGATTCTTTACAGAGAGGAAGGGAGAGGGATAGAGAGTCAGAAACATCGATGAGAGAGAAACATCGATCAGCTGCCTCCTGCACACTCCCCACTGGGTATGTGCCTGCAACCAAGGTACATGCCCTTGACCAGAATCGAACCTGGGACCCCTGAGTCTGCAGGCCGATGCTCTATCCACTGAGCCAAACCGGTTAGGGCTAATTTATTTATTCTTATTAGGAGTTGCATCTAGACTTTATGACTACAAAGAACAGTAGACAAAACTATCAATTGAAGAAGCCTAAATTAAAGAAGAAGGGCCCTGGATATGCATTATCCATCTGTAATTTCCAAAAGAGTCTGCTCTCTGAGTCTGTAGTTTCAAAATAGAAATAACTTCTGAGAGGAAAAGTCTTATTGGCAGATACCTTAAAGGAAACATACCTCGACCAGCCAGAGGACACTGAATCTTTCTAACACACGAATGCCTGAACACCTGAGCGAATGCACCACTCACTGATACAGCTTTTTCTATTCCTGACAATTAGAACCCTCTCTCATATGAGCCAAAATCAGTCTCTTCATAGCCTTTGTGTAGCCCTACCCCTTGAGAATCTTAATAATTCAATTTCTGACTGAAGAGCAACTTGAGATCCACTTCATCTCATCAGTACCTTTTGCATATGAACACTACGATAACTAATTTTTCAGTTACTGCTCTATTATTTACAATCCCCTCTAGTGTGTTTCACATCTTAAATGTACAAATAGATTAAAAAGCTTAATTTACCAATTAAAATGTTTTCATAATTTTAACAGAATAACTTAATTTGTTGCTGATGAAATTCTAAATTATAATTTTGCTCAGTAAATCATAGACTGTAATGAGTCCACTTCCACATAGAGCAACCTAGGAACCCAGACACTGGAGGTATCTGCAGGCACCATGGGGGAGTTTCCCAACAGGAGACCAGCCTTCCAGATCTATCTGTCACTTATTCTGCGACTTAGTCTTTTTTTTCTATGTAAAATGAAGGCACTGAAATATATGCTCTCTGAGATTCCTTCAGTTCAATATATACTTGCAAAATCAAGAAAGTAAAAACTTAGCTTTTAAACTGTCTACCTTTTAAATCAGGAATTTGTGGCCAATCAGTCCAAGCTCTGAGAGGTGACTGAATAGGTGATATCGGTGGAGGGGAAGGATTCAAACCAACAAGTTTTTGCTGCTCTATTAACTGCAAGAGCTTTCCGCGAGCCTCCATACTCTGCCGGTTCAGTTCCGCAATCCGCTCCTCCATGCTATTTGGTGTTAGAGGCCGTGTTGCTGGAAAAGTCTTTAAAAAAAGAGGCAAAATTCCATATTAAAAACAATCCAAACAATTTTGACTTTTTGTAAAAATAAACTTCCACTAAGAGCCAGCAAGTTAGTGTTCATAGCCCTTGCTGTGTGCAGACTTGAATAGTGGACTAAAAACAAAATTTACAAGTCACTTAATTGAAAAATTAGGGCTAAAACAAAGGGATGCCAATTCTTCTAATACTGGTGCCACATGTCCTCTAGTCTCTCTGTCCATGGAGAGTCTGTGGGATGAAGTTTTCCTGCATCTCTTAGCGTTTGCTGAACTACACAAAAGATCACATGAGCAAAGACTACTTCTAAAGACCTGGCTTCTAAGTAACATACCTATGAATACCAGATCTGGGGTCTGAGTCACAAGGATCTGCTGTAGTTGAAAGAGATGATTCTATAATTATAATCTTCATTCATGCACCATGAATTATTTGGCAAAGATTTCTAGGACCCTTATCATTCTTTCTGACCATATGTCAGCCTCCCCAGGCCACTTCTGGCCTAAGATATCTCACTCAAAACAGTTGGTGCCTTAGCCTGATCTATATACTAATTAGAAAAGGAGGCAAAATCAATTTTTAACTTTGCTGCCATTTTTAAACTAAGACGTTGCCTATTTCAAATCATCTTCAAAACTCTGTAAACAACGTCTCCCATGACTCAAAATTGAGGCAGTTTATACTTATAATACACCTGTGACGAGGCTACTGCCCACTCCTAATACTCCTTCCTGGCTCCTCCCCTGCCAGAACCTTCTGACTACTATTTCTGTGACTCAAGACCCATCTTACCCTGACTGCCCATGAGCCAGTGCTGACAGACGTGTACCCCTAGCCTACCATCTCCCACCTCCTGACCTTCCTCCTGGACGCACATGACCCACTTCTGATAAAGTCCTCATGGAAGCAATTACCCCTGAAACTCCTAACCCAGGATGCCTGCCTGCCCCTAACAACTGCTCCAACACTGTCCGGTCCCTATCAGAAGCCTGATGGGAGCCTCTCTGGCTCATAATAAAGTAAAAGGAAGCTTCTCCCATCACTGGGACCAGGGGAAGAATGTAGGTTATAAACTCTCCCCAATTGGAACTTAGGATCCCTTTTCTCCCACAAATAAGGAAATGAAGGTCCAAGTTACCATGTTAGCCCACAGCTTATTTAACTTACAAAATTCTTGCACTATAATATTCAGACTTTTGCAACTCAAAGTATAGTCTTTGGACTGGCATGATTTGGAAATTTACTAGAAATGCACAGGGCCTACCTCAGACCTATTCAATCAGAAAAAGCATTTGAGCAAGATCCCAGATGATTTATATATACATTAAAGTCTGACTTTAAAAATCCTTTAAAATCATTTCTATAGCAAAATGCATTCTGTGTCCTAAAAAACTAACTATTCATGAGTTGAGGGCCAACTACACATAGTTCTTTTTTATGAGCCCCTTTAAGAGTAAAAATGCTTTCAATTAAAATGTAATTGTGTGGCAAATGTTTAAGTCATATTAATTCTGCATGTTATATTTAAAACTTCATTCCTAGCCTAATTTTAGCTTTGCTACATTTTACCTTCATCCTATTTTCCTCATTCATTCCTCTTTTTTATTTTATGTTGTCCTCTTTTATTGTATCTGAGATAGAAACTGACAAATAACTTCTACTTCTCTTGTGATGAGGACATGACCAGGCATAAGCCATCTAGCACAGCCTCAGAGATATCCTGGAAAGAAGCGCTTTAAGAAGCTCCAGCAATGGACCTAAATTCCTATATGTCCATAGTCAGTCCTTAACTGGTACTTACAGCACTCACGTTGCTTGTATGACTTGTCTCCTGTTTGTTTAACTCCCGAAGTCCATCCCCTTGCTCTCCCCCTGGCCAAAGAATATTATTCAGATGAGCCCTGATAGCTGAATTCTGCAGTGTCAACTCAGCAATTTGTGCCATGATGTTCTTTCTTTGTATTAATGCCTCATCTGCTCTAAGCTGTTGCCCATCCCCCAGTACTGGGGGCTCTTCTGAGAATGCAGGGTTTCTGGGTTGCTGAGTGTTTGAGAGGGAATTGCACAGGGGCTGTGAGAGGTTGACAAAAGGAGCCTCGGTTTTGTTTTCCAAATCTTCTCCCATGTGAGAGACCCTCCACCTCTGGGTGAAGAGATGACTCTCGTCACTTGAATTCTGAATGTCTGTGCTGGGCGGTGAGGTCTTCTTTTCCCAATTTTGTTCCTTCTCAATTATTTCCACAGTTGGAGGAATTCGTGGAGCAGGACGAGTTTGAACGGTCCTCCTCAATACTGTAGATAAAATTTTAAAATAACAAACATGTATTATTCAGCCATAGATTGGCAGTGTAATCATCTCATTAGCCCATCATGGTAGTTAGACAAGTATTTCAACAGAAGGAGTTGGTTTCTGAAGGTCTAAATTGACCTGCAATGCCACCACTAACAATCAAGCATGAAGACTTTATCTACTCATGAGTAGTTAATTAAACAAAAACAGAAATAAATTAGTAGCTAAATTAGTAATTAAGCTTTGATATACCTTAAAGCTTAATCAGTATGCTTGTGAAAAACCACCTGCCAACTCCACATTTTCACATTACATTAACTCATATCTGGGAATCTTGCGGGTGAGAACAGTAAAGATAATAATGTAAACTGAGGGTGGTCAGGAAAGGCATCTCTGAAGAAGTAAAAATTTTAAATAATTACATATATGGCAGAAGTAGAGCAAATAACATTACAGGCAGGGAACAACATATGTGAAAGCCTCAAAATAGGAAAGAGCAAAGAAAGGAGGCCAGTCGGCTGTAGCATAGCAACGAGAGGAAACTGGAAACAGATGAGACTGGAGAGGGGTGCAGGGCCATTTCTTGCAGAGCTCTTTAAGCCAACTTTGGAATTTTCCAATTTAATCCAAGAACAATAGACTGCAGAAGGTTTGGCAATGACTCAATTTACATTTCTTAAATGTTGTGGATAACTGGAAGATCCAGGATGGAAGAAATCAATAAGCAACTGTGGTAATCTAGAAGACAGACAATGGTAGCTTTGACTAAGGTATGTTGGTATAAAGACAGAGAGAAGTAGATAAATTTGGGAAGTATTTTGGCAATAGAATTGAAATGATGAACTGGAAATGGGGAGTAAGATCATGGCATGCACAACTGAATGGAAGGTGATGCCATGCACTGAGATGGAGAAGATAAGAAGAACAGATTTGGGGGAAGGTTGAGTATCAAGAATTCACTTCTGTACGTGCAAGTTTAAGGTGCATTATGTTCAAAACTGGAATTCTCTGGCAGATAGAAAATACTGGAAGCCATGAGAATGAGTGAGATTACACAGAGAGAAAGAATAGAGTGAGGGAAAAAACAATACCAAGACATGAAGAACTTAACATTTAGAGTCAGGTAAAGGATAGGAAGCGAGCAAAGCAGATAGAAATGAAGCAGCCAGAGATGTAAAAATGCCTTATATTAATTATGGAGAGCCCCTCCAGATAAACAGAAATTAAATTGGGATAAAAATGATTGCCTCTTGGGTAGGTCAAGAGGTGTGTGAGGAAGAGATCCCTGTATATGCTTTTTTTTTTCTTAGCCACATGCAAATAGGAATTAGAACTAACACTTTAAAATAAAGAAGGAATGGAATATAAGAAAATGAAACAGTATATATATATATATTAGTCTTTCAAGCATGGCATTAAACAAAAATAGAGATAAGTTAACAGCTAAAGGAAATATTTATAAGGGAAAATTCTAGAGCAACATTCTCCAGTATGGTAGCCTCTGGCCACATGTGGCTATTCATATTCAAATCTAAATTAATTAAAATAAAATAAAATAAAATAAAATAAAATAAAATAAAATAAAATATAAAATTCCGTTCCTCAGTCACTGGCCACATTTCAGGTGCTCAACAGCCCCACCCTTGGCTAGTAGCTACCATACTGAATGGAGCAGATACAGAACATTTTCATCATCACAGAAAGTCCTACTGGACAGAGAGCTGAACCTTGATTAAGGGCCTATGTATCTCCCATTTTTATCCATATGTTCAATTTAACTAAAAAATTCTCTATATGTAAGTATTCTGAACAAAATGCTGAAAATGATAATAAAACTCTACCATTTCAGAATACAGATTCAAGGATAGTTCTATCTGCACACTGCAAAAGGAATGTGCCATGTTATTTTCCACACAAAACCCACTGCAAATGCTAACAAAATGTCGTCTATATCAATATAATTTGCTTTAATGAACATTTTGTATATTTGCAATCAGAGTAAAAATATTTATAGTAATTGTTTCTTTAAAAAATATTAGGATATTTTAGTATCACCAATGAAAAACAATTTACAGTATCTCAAAAGATATCATTAGATAAGCCTTTTAATACGATGCAAACATTTGAAAAATTACTTTAAGAAATGAAAGTCTAACTTGAACAGAAATCAGATTTGATATCATATTTCCTAAAGTTAGCCAGTTAATGATATTCTCTAGCCCTCTAAAGAGGAAATATCGAATCAAAGAATTATAGAGCTGGAGGGATATTAAAGATAAAGGAAAATCCTCTCAATGCAAAGATAGGAAAACTGAAGTCCAGAAAAGTATAAAAAGTATTAGCCCCATACCTCACAGCTAGTCAAACAAATCTTATAATGGCAAAGATTTGTCATTTTCTTTAACCCTTATGGGCTCTTCAAATCCTCTATTGGGAACATACATCAAAGTGCAGAAAATCTGACAAAATTTATATGTCTCAATGACAATAAATGTTATTCTTCTGTCCTCCAACATAAGAAAATAAATACTCTAATTAAAGAAACAAAAATTTAGTCAAATCAGGGCTAAATAACATTTTTCTAAAAACTTTGCCTGAAAGTCTAAAGTAGTTTTTGATTGAAGAACTCTTTGGAAAATGAAATGATTATAGCTCCAGAAAATGCACATGTGGACAAATAAATATAATTTTCCAAACAATGAAGCAATCCATGGAGATTCTGAAGACCATACATGAAATCCAAGTTAAGAATCTGTGAGCCAAGTTGGCTCTCTGAACAGCACCTTCCGAAAGGCAACAAAAAGGCAGCCAAGAAGAAAGTGGGTGATCCCAGAAAGATTGGTGTGATGTGAAAGGACCAGCTCTGTTCAATATAAGAAATACTAGAAAAACACTAGTCACGAGAGCTCAAGGAACCAAAATCGCATCTGATGGTCTCAAGGGTCGTGTTTTTGAAGCAAGCCTAGCTGATCTGCAAAATGATGAAGTGGCATTTAGAAAATCCAAGCTAATTACTGAGGATGTTCAGGGCAAAACTGCCTGACTAATTTCCATGGCATGGATCTTACCCATGACAAAATGTGCTTCCTGGTAAAAAAAAAAAAAAAATGGCAGACCGTGATTAAAGCTCATGTTGATGTCAAGACTACCAATGGTTATTTGCTTCATCTAGTCTGTGTTGGTTTTACTAGAAAATGCAAAAGTCAGATTCAGAAGACCCTTGCTCAGCATCAATAAGTCTGCCATATCTGGACAAAGATGATAGACATCAAGACCCAAGAGTGCAAATAACTTGAAAGAAGTGGTCAATAAAATGATTCCAGATAGCATTGGAAAACACATATTTATTCACTCCACGATATCTTTGTTAGAAAGTCAAATGCGGAAGAAGCCCAAGTTAGAGTTGGGAAAACTCATGGAGCTTCACAGTGAAGGAAGCAGTTCCGGAAAACCACTGGATGAGACAGGTGCTAAAGCTGAATGAGCTGATAAATATGAGCCCACAGTCCAAGAATCTGTTTAAAATTCAGACTTTTAATGGTGACAAAGAAAAATCCTATTTGTGATTTTGTAAAAATCTATGAGCTAAGTATTAACAATAATTTTTTAGAAATTTTATTTCAACTCTATATATGTGCTGCAAAAGTGACTCTAAAGCAATTTTTAATTGTCCATAGACTTTCATTACCAATTTCCCTCAACTGACTGAGCTAAAGTTTTGATGAGAAAGAGGTTAATAACAAGATCTGACTTACAAAATCCCTCAGGTCATGGCTCTCACCTTTCCTTGGTTAAACATTCATTACTCTTTAGAGAATAGTCTCCTCTTGTTTCTTACTCTTCCCCATGCCCTGGACCATAGGGACAAATGGGATTCCCCTCACTCCATGTTTTAATGCGGAGGGCTTTGATCCCTTGATTTGAGCTTAACATTTACAATGCCTAATGGAACATATATGTAATGAAACTCAATGTCACATTTCACCACAGGCATAGCATACATGATGTAAACCACCATCCTCCTTCGGCTTAAAGGTCATGTATGGTAATCAATATCTTTTTAATTCTGTTTATCAGGTAATGATGCACACATGGATTAAATATATGAAGCATAAAAAACAACTACCATGTAACTTTAGAAGAAGCCTGCTTACCATCCTGCAGAGGAGAGAATTCTGAGTTGCTCTTCTGCCGGGGTGGTGTTAACAACACAGCTGGCTCAAATATGTGTGCTGGAAAATTGTTGGCCAGATTCACACTATCTGGAGGGTTTGGCACTTGAGATAGTTTAACAGGCAAGTCTTCCTGTGGGAATTCACGCACTTCTTCCCCTCGATACATCAATGGCATGGAGACATTAGCATTTACAACTGAAGCCTCTGAAGAAGATGAGAGGCTATTAGTACGTCAAGGAACGCTGGCACATTTACGTATGTATACTTAAAAGCATTCCGTAGAGGGCAAAATCAGGCGGCCTCGAGAGCCTTTACTTTTTAGGTCATATCCTCCTTTAGCAGGAACTCACAGGGTAGGTTCCTATGGGGTCAGCACTGGGAAGAAGTGGCTGTTTTTGAGAAAAGTACTGAGGACCTCAAGCCCTTAGGACCTGATCTAGCCATGGAGTTTATCTCATGCAAATTAAATTTTAGTCAGCCACTTCTTAGAATCTCTCCCTAGGAAACACTCTGAAATGCATAAACACTTTCCACACAGAGATACTCATCAAAATATTACTTAGAAGTAAAAAACATGAAAAAGCCTAAATGTTCTATTCAACCTATGGCATATGAGGTAAAAAAGGTTTTCAAAACATTACCCAATAAACAAAAGTTATGAATTTCTAAAGTTCAGTGTTTTCTGTTTTCTTCCCAAGACCATTTCTTCTCCACCTGAGCCTGAGGCACCATGATTAAAAGTACTGGCATTAAGTCCTTCCCATGGTCTAGGAAGCTAGTTCTGCTACTCTTTATTTGTGTGACTTTGCTAAGTTGCCAACCCTCGCTAGGCCTTGGTTTTCTCATCTGAAAAATGGGGACAATAACATCTACCTCATAAGACTATTATGAGGATTAAATGAAATAATACATGTAAAATACTTTAAAAGTATCTGGCATAGAACAGGTATCCAATAAATATTAGCAGCAATAATAGTGGTGACAATGTTATATATGCAATAACCCCATATAAGTTTCTGGTTTTGTTCATTTGTTTACTCTATAAATATTTTAATGCCAATCTGGAATAATAAGACCCACTCACCTGGATTGTCCATAATTCTACTACTCGTGGCTCCCCTTTCTGCTGCCAGACTTGCTTGGTTGTTATTTATCACTGGACAGCTCTTAATGGCATGTGTGATCGATATAAGTTGCTCATCTGTTGTGACCATATACTGCTGAAGTCTCGCCTAGCAAAAAAAGAATGAAATAACATTGTTGGCATGTCAGACATCAAATCATCACCTAGATTTGTATAACTATATCATTATTTTAAATACTCTAGGAACTTCTGACTTTCATTCAAATACTAAAATAATACATTCATAAGAATACATAATTATAAATATTGTAAAAGTCTCATGATAGAGGAATTGTTAAATAAACTATGGAATATTATTAATTAATAAATACATGCTACAACAATAAGAATTAACCTTTTTATAAGGCTTTCAACTTACAAAACCTTTTATATAGATGATATTGACTCAAACTACCCCAAGAGACAGTTATATCAGATGCAGGAAACTAAACAGAATATAACACAGGCTTTTAAAGTGATAAACATGAGCACTATAAACATTTATGGTCATATCCTATCTAATAAAGAGGGAATATGCTAATTGACCCTCACACCATCACAAAGATGGCAGCGCCCACAGCCAATAAGGAGGGAATATGCTAATTGACTATCACGCCCTCAAAGATGGCGGCGCCCACAGCCACAAGATGGCAGCGCCCAAATTCCACACTCATATATCCAATGGCCTACTCAACATCTCCATCTAGAACTGACAGAGGCTTCTCGAACTTAACATGCACAAAACCAAACTCCTTGTGACCCTCCCCGACTCATCAATAACAGCTCCACCCTTCTGAATGCCCAGGCCAAAACTTTGAATCACCTTGAACTCTTCTCTTATATCTTCTCCTTTACCCCATATCCAAGCCATCAGCAAATCCTACTGATTGCCTTCAAAATATATTCAGAATTTGGTCACTTTTCACAACTTTTTCCACTTCCAATCTAGACCACGCTGTCATATCTCACCTGAATTTTCCCAGTAACTCCTGTCTGTAATACATTGCTTCTGTGTTTAACCACCTAGACTCTAGGTCCTAGAGTATAGTCCTATACTGTTCCCAAACAAGGCTGAGGCACCTTGGGGCAACACAGTGAACTCATAGGGGCCCCCCAAGACATTTCGTATTTTTAAGGGAAACACAAATGTTCTGTGAGGTACCAGTGAACTACTAGCTTGAGGCAGTTCACATTAGACCAAGATATGTTCCTTTTGATTATGCCATATATTCACAAGGCTGGGTTTTAATAGTTGCTATGCTAAAAAGCAATGCTGCATAAAAATTATTGCGGAACAGGAAATAAGAGTGATGGTGTCCAATGTGATTCCAAGCTTTCAGAAGCTGTGCAATGCCCACTAAGTATACATATTCCAATAGTAAATAATTGTGGTTATTTCATCACAAATAAAAATATGACTTTTTCTATCAATTTATATGCATCATTTTTTTCAAATAGCACATAAGTTAAGACAAATACTTCATAAGTTATTTGAACCTAACTATTTAATAAATGAAAGTGTTAGGTATTTCTTTTGGCCTAGGGGTGTCTTAAGATACTAAGGGCACCATAAACTAAGAAAGAGCAGTATTCTCTGTCCTAGAGACAACATACTAGCCCAAACTGATCCTCTTAAAACCAACAAAAGATCATGTCTCTTCTCTACTCAAAACCCTTCAGTGGTCTCCCATCTCACTCTGTATAACAGCTCCACATGATCAGGCTTATCTGCTCTTATCTGCTCTACTCTCTTTCCAACATTCTACTCCTACCACACTGGTCTCCTTAATGTTTCTGAGCTCAATAGCCACCCTCCCACCTCAAGATCTTTGCAGTTGTTACTCTGTTCGATGGCTCATCTCTCAGCTATCTGCATGCTCGCTCCCTCACCTCCTTCAGGCTTTTGCTCAAATGTCACCTCCTCAGGAAGGCATGGACCATCCCATTTACAACTTCCCATCAGAGGCACTTCCTGTGCCTCTTACCTGCTTTATTTTTCTTTATAGTACACTAGAGGCCCAGTGCATGAAATTCATGCATGGATATGGTCCCTAGGCCTGGCCTGTGATCAAGGCCATCTTCCCCAGCTGCCCGTAGCCGGCCCCGCCACCTGCCGCCACCCACCCCCGGTTCCCTGTTTGCCACCAGGTGATTGGTGCCTGACGGCTGGGGGAAGGGACCAAGAGGCCGGCTGTTCCCGTCCACTCACCAGCCCTGCCCCCACCGCAGGTGGCGATCAGGCAATGGGTTGTTCTGCCTTTAGGGTCAATTTGCATATTACCCTTTTATTATATAGGATATCACCATCACCATTTAACTTATAATATACTTTACTTTTTCTTCTTTTTAAGACTTATTTAGAACATACGCTCTACGAGGGCAAAGATTTTTTTTTGTTCACTACTATATTTCTTGTACCTAAAACAGTGCCAAGCCCAGAATAGGTGCTCAATAAAAATTTGTTGAGCAAATTAGTACATTATAAAACTGCCCATCTTCCCAGGAGAATTGAAAACCTTATGTTCACTCAAGATAAAAAGAAATGAAATGCTAATACATGCTACAACATAGATGAACCTTGAAAACATTATGCTAAGTCAAAGAAGTCAGACACAAAAGACCACATATTGCATGATTCTATTTATATGTAATATCCCAATTAGACAAATCTATAGAAACATAAAGTAGATTTGTGGTTGCCCAGGGCTGGATGGAGGAGAGAAGAGAGGGTGGCTGATGGGTTTCTCTTTGGGGTGACACAAATGTTCTGAAATTAGGTAATGGTGTTGGTGAATATACTAAAACCCACTGAATTGTAGACTTTAAAAGGAAGAATTAAATGGCATGTGAACTATATACATCATTTAAAAAAATTTCATGATTAATATCTACTGTCCATTTATACAAATGCAACTTGTCTACCAACTAATGCTTTTCTATTCTCTTTTGGCTGATAAAGTTGTAATAACCACCATTTGAGAACAAACAGATGAACAAAAATGTCTCTGTCCTCAAGCAGCTCACAGTTTTGATGACAGGTACCCATGTATGTGTAACACAACTTGGTAAATACAATGAGAGCAATATCCAGAGAATATCAAAAGTGCACAAAGGAAGAATATTTAATGCAGCATGGAGGCAAGAAGGTTTTCTAGAAGAAATACTTATACAGTATTAAAAAGGAATGATTAGCCATATCTAAAAAATATGAATTTACTATAAACAACTCAATGACATACAACTGCAGAAGGATTCTTCAAATAGTATCTTCTACTGTTCTGAAATTAACAGTAGCTATCATAACACTCATTAAACATTTTTAATAAACTACTATAATATTGGTAGTTATCATTTAAAGATAGATTCTGTCTTCCCACTATTTAGTAAGTTTCTTGAAGATAGTTGACTTATTCTATATACTACTTATAGTCCAAATTTCTATATAGTACCTCCAATATAATAGATGTTCAATAAAAACTACCACTGATGATAATAAAGAAGTACAAGTAATACATCAGCACAACTAAACCAAAGGCAACTAGAAGGAACCTCAGACATCCTTAAAGATGTTTTATACTAGTAAACACAGAAAATTTTGGGATCTCATCTAAGTACCTGGGTAGCAGTATTTTCTTCTCTAAGAAGTAGAATTTCAGCTGTCAGAGCATCAATGAGCTCTCGATGATCACCTAATGCCTGCTCCAGTTTCTGCCTTGTCTCTTCTTCTTTACGCAGTTGGAGCTCACTCTACAAAAAAAAATCAAATAAACTCCCATCAATAGCATCACATGTTGAAAACTAAAAGTTTCTACTCAAAGTTGTCAAAGAAGAAAATACTTACAAAGTATATATTATGTGACAATAATGAGAGTTAAATATTTTTATTAAAAGGTATATATTTCATTAAAATATGCAGCTTTATCCTCTCCCCTTCTTCAAATAGAACACAATAAACAGGCTGGTATATAGAATTGAATAACTAAAATTTTGTAGAAGGAAGTGGAGGGAAGTACATATACATATTGCTTGAATACACATCGACCATCTCTGGAAGGATATACTGGTGTCTGGTAATAGTTGGCTACACAGAAGCAAACTGGTTAAATGGAAGTTAGGGGTGGGAATTAGATTTTTCATCACATACTCTTCCGTGTCTCTGAATTTCATACCATGTGAATAGATCACCAATTTGAAAATTAAATGTTAAAATATAATCCTCCTATATAATAAAAGCCTAATATGCAAATTGCTCGACCAGGAGTTCAACCACTCGCTATGATGTGCGCTGACCCCCAGGGAGTGGCGCGGAACGTGGCGGGCGTCAGCAACACGGCACTGGCAGTGGGCGGCAGTGGAGGTGCTGCTGGCCCTGATGTGCCCCGACCAGAGCGGGACTGCAGTGGGATGGTGGAGCAGGTAAGCGGGAGGCGCCAGGCCAAGGCAGGTGTGAGTGGGGGTCCCGATCACCCCACAGACGGTGACCAGTGGCGGCAGCGGGAGGCAGGGCTGCTGCCTGGCTCCCAGGTGCTGAAGGAGCCGGGCAGGGGGCCCGGCCCTGACTGATTGCCCCGCAAACAGGATAGTGTAGCAGGTGGGGGGGGGGGTGGGAGGGCCAGGCCACAGCGGGGTGCCAGGCAGGGCTGCGGGGCTGCAAGGTTGTGGGTGCGAGCTGGGGCTGCGAGCCTAGGGGCACGAGCTGGGGCCCAATCCCCGCAGGCCACTGTGAAGGACCACCCGTGCACAAATTTGTGCACCAGGCCTCTCATTTAAAATAAATGACAACAGGTTTAAGTGGTTGAGCTTTGTAAAGCAAGTGATTAACTAAAAAGTACTTGCTTCTAAGCCTGTAATACTTTCAGAGCCAAAAGTACACTCCTGGAGATCCCTGACTTGAGGGTGGAAGAATGTTAAGACTCTCCTAACTCAGACACCATAAATCTTTCACTAAAAAGCAATTTTCTGAAGACCTCTGAATTGAAACCTCTGAATTACAGAGGTGAATCAAATTTTTAAATAATAACATTTCCTCAAATATTTGTCATATTTTATGTTTAACAAATTTAAACACATAAAAATAGTTTGAATAGATTTTTTAAAAGATGAACTACATAAGCTAACTCTAATTCCACAGCATTCTGAGGATTATTATTCACAAATGAATTAAAGAAACAATTCTTGCTTGTCTTATAAATGATTTCACAACAATAAAATATCTGCCACTAAGATACTGAAGGAAAGCCCAAGTTACCAGTCATGAGATAACTTAAGGGAATTCCTCAATCTGTGTCTACAGATAACAGGCATGCTATTCTCCAAACTGAACTAAAAGGGAGCAGGAAGCAGAGGAAAGCAGCAGAATGAGGACACATTAATAGTTCTACTTAATCTATAACTGCCAAATAGTATTAGTCCATATTAGCACAAGATATTTTAATTATAGCAGATTTACTTTCCTAATTACATTTCACTAAGGCTCATATTAAAATCAGCATCACTTACCTGAGCATGTACCTACATGCCAGCTGATGCACGAATCAGCTTATAGAGGAAAATGAAGAGGATAAACTTCCACTGCACATAATCTAAAACTGAGGCATTTTAAACAAAGCTATTCAAACGTGACTATACTTTACTTGGAAGTTGCAAACAATTAGATGTAGAGAAAAAACCCTACACCTTTCCACCAGCACTCTGAAGAGGAGACCCCACTAACCTCATGTGCTTACCTCTTTAAGGTACCGAACCAGGCGACAGAGGGAGCTCACCAGCGACAGGGTGAAGCCTGTAAGACCCTGGCTGCTCTGTGGTTCCTTGACTTCGCGTCCCGTCGACCGCTCATAGTCTTCCATTTCGTGTTCCACTTCATGTATCATGTGCTTGAGGACATCCAGGCTGGGATTGGTGCTACTTGATAAGTCTGTGGAGGCTGTGCTAGATGACAGCATGTTTCCCTTCTGCTTGGAAGGGGCACACAACTCCGGTTTTCTTTTCACTGATAAATGACAGAAATCATTCTATTTTAAGATCAGGAAAAATTACACTAGAAAACTACTAGAAAAACCTTTGGCTGTTGTTCACAATTTATAAAACATTTTTATAGAAGTTACCACAATTTTATCACAAAAAACTATTCTGATTAAACCGGGTTTACACAATCTATAAGGAATGTATAGAACCAGCATTCTACAAGGCTACGTGGGATAAAAGGAGGCATTCCTTAGCTACGACTCAATAAATTCGTACTTAGCTAGATCCAACTGGATGATTGAAAGGAAAAGCATTCACTAAGACATTAAGATGGCCATGTCAAGTTACATGTCTAATAATTCATCTTTGTGAATTGAGGAATGGAACCTTTATTTAACAGCTGCTTTTGCTTCCTGGAGTTCAGCACTTGTCCCACAACGTAGCTGGAGTCTAGAGACTCAGAAGATTCTTCAGGCTGAAGCCTGGTGTGGACTCTCTTGACAGCATTGGTCGCATTCAGAGCAGCTAAAACAAAAGGTATTTCCAAAAGCATCTCAGGTGAAAAAATGATTAAAGCGTTTCAATTCACAGGTCAATCAGTATTTTACTCAATTAGGCTAAGACAGTCAAAACTCAAATAACTTCTTCAAAGATTACTGTGTTCAAGAAAGAAAAAAATAAATATAGCAAGCTATTGTCTGTAAGAAACAATATAATGTGAAAACAAACCTTTTTTTTCCTCTGATGGAGAGGTGGATGATGGAGTCCCTAGAGGGCTTGTTATTTGTGACTGTGTTGCTATTTTCTGCTGAATATCAGTCCACAGTTTACTAATTATCTCAGAATTATCTTCCTTTAGTTGGTGAAGGAACCTATAAATTATGGGACAATAAGCTATATATTACAATTAATAAGTGCCATCATTTACACTGTTCAACTGTTTACATGTTTGATTTGAACTTTTCATACTTCATAATCAAAGAAAACATGATTTGCTTTAACTTATGAGAGAGAACTAAAATACCAGTCTTCTTTAAAAAAAAAAATATATATATATATATACTTTTATTGATTTTAGAGAAGAAGGGAGAGGGAGAACAAGATAGAAACATCAATAATGAGAGAGAATCATTGATCAGCTGCCTCCTGCACACCCTCTGGGGATTCAGCCCGGGGATGTGCTGCAACTGCGATTTGAATAGTGACCTCCTGGTCCACAGGTCAGTGCTCAACCACTGAGCCACACTGGCCAGGCTAAAATATCAGTCTTCTTAGTGTTAGAAGAAATCATTCCATCTCCCTCCCAGTATCCAGCCTGTACTGGCTCCTAAAGCAGGGACTTTCCCCTTTCTGAAGTGGTATGGTCCCATCCTCCTCCCTCTTTCTCTAGAGAAAGTAGAAGACTTGATCCCTTCTGGTTTCTCTCTCCTACTAAGAGCCTGTTCCCAGAGCATCATCTCTGCTCATCACTGCAATAAAGTGATTGGAGCAGACTCTGCCCTGTGTGTTGAGAAGCTGGGAGAGGGAGTGGAAAGAAGAGCTATAGCGTAGATAATTAGAGAGCTAAGCTTCATGCTGTAATCATCTTCATCATTGATAAAGCTAATATTTTACTCTCCAGTTGTCTATTTCTCAATTAGACTGAGACTTAAAAGAGCTAGGAGACCAGCCGTGGCCAGTTTGGCTTAGTGGACAGAGCATTGGCTCACGGACTGAAGGTCCCAGGTTTGATCCTGGTCAAAGGCATGTACCTGGGTTGCAGGCTTGATCCTCTGCCCTGGTTGAGGCATGTACAGGAGGCAACCAATCGATGTATCTCTTTCACATCGATGTTTCTTTCTCTCTGCCTTTCCTCCTCCCTTCTATTCTCTCTAAAAATCAATGGAAAAATATCAAGTGAGGATTAACGGAAAAAAAAAAAGAGCTAGGGGACGCAAAAGCAGAAACAACCCAAACATCCACCAACTGATGAATGTGATCTATCCACACAATGAAATATTATGGAACCATTAAATGAAGCACTGATATGTCTACGACATGGATGAATCTTGAAAACATACTAAGTAAAACACACCAAACACAAAAGACCACTTATTGCATGATTCTATATATATGAAATGTCCAGAATTAGCAAATCTACATAGATAGAAAATAGACCAAACGAATAGATTAGGTAGGGCTCAAGAGTTTGGGGTTACACAGTATGGGTTTTCTTTTAGGAGTAACGCAAATGTTTTAAAATTGATTGTAGATTGTACAAATCTGTGAATATATTAAAAATCATCAAATATTATACTTTAAATATATTTTTATTGATTTCAGAGAGGAAGGGAGAGGGAGAAAGAGATAGAAACATCAATGATGAGAGAGAATTGGCTGCCTCCTGCACACCCCCACCGGGGATAAAGCCTGCAACCCATGCATGCACCCTGACCAGAAATCAAACTATGACCTCCTGGTTCATAGGTTGATGCTCAACCATTAAGCTACACTGGCCAGGCCAAATATTACACTTTAAATGGGTAGACTGTGTGGTATCCTATATAATAAAAGGCTAATATGCAAATCAACCGAACAGTGAAATGACTGGCTGCTATACACGCACTGACCACCAGGGGGCAGACACTCGATGCAGGAACTACCCCCTGGTGGTCAGTGCACTCCCATAGGGGGAGAGCCGCTCAGCCCGAAGCCAGGCTCATGGCTGGCAAGTGCAGTGGTGGTTGGACATCCCCCAAGGGGTCCTGGACTGCAAGAGGGTGCAGGCCGGGCTGAGGGACTCCTCCCCGCCTCCCCCCCGCAGTGCACAAATTTCATGCACCAGGCCTCTAGTGTTAACTATAAATAAATAAAGCCTTTACCAAAAAAACAAACAGACAAACCAGGAAAAGTGAAATCTTCTTCAGTGGCCTCACAGACCTCAACCTAATGGAGTTGCCTCCAAGCAACTTACAGGTAGTACACTGAACATTAGTTGCTATGAAGTATATTAAGTAAAATGTCCGTAATATAGTCTTTTCACAGGCGGTTATTTATCAAAGCATCAGAAAGACTCCTCTGTAAGACAGTGCTAGCTCTAAGTCTAAACTTAGGACAAATCCTAAGAAAAAGTTGGAATGAGATATCTGTGCAATTTGGGAAAATTCAAACCCATATGAACTCACATTTCTGTCTCTAATGTTTATACTTTGAAGAGCCAGGTTATGTGAAATAATAACAAGAAAAATAATATACTGTTATCTATGGTAGGCTTAATAATCCCCCAAATTTACCCACAACCTAATCCCTAGAACCAGTGTTACTGTATTTGACTAAAAAGGGACTATGCAATTGTATATATCCATACAAGGCAATATAACAAAACAATTACAATATATTAATAAACCTAAATAAAATGGGTAAGTCCCTAAGAAAATGTAACTTACCAAAACTGACTTGAGTGGAAAGTTTAAATTGAAAGATTTCAGCTAATAAAAATTCACCACCCCCCCCCCCCCCACACACACACACACATAAAAAACCAGAACACTGCCCTGACCGGTTTGGCTCAGTGGATGGAGCATCAGCCTGAGGACTCAAGGGTCCCAGGGTCGATTCTGGGCAAGGGCATGTACCTTGGTTGCGGGCACATCCCCAGTAGGGAGTGTGCAGGAGGCAGCTGATCGATGTTTCTCTCTCATCGATATTTCTAACTCTCTATCCCTCTCCCTTCCTCTCTGTAAAAAAATCAATAAAAATATTTTAAAAAAAGAACACTAAAAATACACTTTATTTAAATGAAATGAAATATATTTAAACAAAAATGAAATAATTTTAAGCTTTATACCTATAAATCTTGAGTCAGAAAATCCAAAACTAAGACCTAAAATGAATAAAAATCAGGAAGAAACAAAAACAAGAATTGATTGAACTTAGGAAATAAATCCAAGAAAAGTGAAAACTACCTCAGAAATAAAGATTAAATTATAATGTGTTTAATGGAGAATTGTTAAATTAACATTTAATAAGGAACATTGAAGAATTACAGAAAAACAACAAAAAGATTAAGAAGAATAACAATGGTTAGAAAGAAAGTACTTGAAATGGAAGACAGAAAAAATCTTTTACATATACATATATATAAAAGGAGTTCCTGAAAAAGAAAAACAAGTGATTTAGAACTAATTTAAAACTATAATCCAAAACTTAAAAACAAAAAACTGAATCCATATATGAAAGGGCTGTTTTTAGGACGCAAAAATTGATCTGGAAAGGTAAAAACTCTAAGACATAACTTGGCAATATTTAAAATATAAAGGAAATAAAATTTAAATGCTAAAATATTAAAATTTAAATTTCAAGTCACTAGATAAAAGTGACTTAATATCCAAATTATTTTAAAATGCAAGAAAAGTATCCTAGCATCAGACTTCTCAAAGGTAACATTCAAAGCAAACCAACGGTGGAGTAGCATTTTTAAGAAAGTTAAGGGGAAAAAACATATAAACCAAAGGTTTTATATCCAGCTAAGTTGTCCAAATATCAAAGTTATAAAAAAAAAGTTTAACCTTTTAAGAACTCAAGGAACATTATATTCAAAAGCCCTATAATAAGCTTTATCTGAGAGATTCAACCAAGAGTTAACTAGGGAAATAACATAAAAGGACTGAGATGAGTGAGCATTTAATATATTTAATTGTAGCTCTAAGGTAAAAAAAAAAAATAGAAATATACAAGGAAGAATAATACATAAATGTATTATTTTCTGTGAAAGCAAAAAAGTATGCAGCTAAAAATGGGGAGACGGATGGAGAGAAAAAAGGGAAATAATGAGAATGTAGAACAATTTATTCGTTGAATAGGAAATAGATAGAAACCAAAAAATACCACTTAAAACCAACACACCTGACAGTAAAAGGTTAAATAAGAAAAGAGGAAATTAAAGGCTATATAGAAGATAGATACAAAAAAGGAACCAACTAGAACAAAATTACAAACTTCCTAAATACCAAAAGAAATATTAAAAAGAACATAGAGAAAGAAAACTATAATTACAGTATAATGACAAAGTTGACATCAAACATAACTGTATCAATAAGTACTTCAGGAAACTTCACCAATTAAAAAAAAAGATTTTCATATTGGCTAACAAGTCAAGGCCCAATTCTATGTTGACTACAAGGGACCCACCTAGTATACAATAATTCAGAAAGGCTAAATATAAGAGGATAAGCAAAGATGAACTGGCAATTTAGAAAGAAGAAGGCAGAAGTTTCATTCCTGATATTACACGAAGTAGAATTGAAGCCAAAAAGCATTCAGTGTGACAAAGAACACTTTCAAATGCTAAATTCCATACTTCACAATGAAGATACAATATTTATGGAGATCCATATACCGAAACATGCAACAAGCAACTTTATAAAAATGGAGGTTTTTGACTCTGAAAAATAACATAAACATCAAATAGAAACACAATAATAGCAAGAGACTTTAATACATTACTCTCAATATAAGATTTGATAAAGATAAATAGGGATACAGAAGAAGTTAACAACATAATCAATGAGGTGGATCTTGTGGCTATACATTTAGAACTTTATACCTTGTTAATAGAGAACACACCTTCTTCTCAAGCACACACACAGAACATTCACAAAAATTTGATCTATTAGGTCACAAAGAAAACATCATTAAGTTCCATAAGTAAAAATATTACAAACTCTGAATGTAATGAAATAAAACTAGAAGTAATAAACCAAAAAAACAAAGAGGCTTTTCTATCTGGAAATATTTTTAAAATATATTAAATGACTCTTAGGTAAAAGGGGAAAATCTAAAGTTAAATTACCTAATTTCTAAAATAACAAAACACTATATATTAGAATATACGGTACACATTTAAAGTAGTGATCAGAGGAAAATTCAGAACCTGAAATAGATCTGTCAATTAAGAATAAAAGAATGAAAATCAATTCCCAACTCAAAATGCTAGAGAAAAAAGTAAACCAAAACAAAAGGACAAGAAAGGAAATAAAGACAAAAGCAAAAATTGATGAGAAAAAAAATCAGAAAAAGAGTAGCTCTAATTAGTAAATCAAAATCCTGGTTCTTTAAAAATTTAACAAAATAGACAAACTAATAATGGAACTAATTATATCATTGCCTTATGATGTCATGCACTGAGGACTTAGCCTCACTTCAGAGATATTCCTGTCCAAAATGTATAACCTGAGTCCAATCACAAAGAAATATCTAAGTCAAATTAGAGGACATTCTATAAAATAATTGGCCTGTATGTCTTCAGATCTGTAAATGTTATGAAAAACAAGGAAACACTAAAAGAAGTTTCCAGATTAAAGAAGATGAAAGAGACATGAAAACAAAATGTAGTAAGAGATCATGCTTGATTCTTAAAACATTAAAAAAGAATGACCATAAATAATACTAAAGGGGCAACTAAAGAAATCTAAATAAGATCTACAGATTAGATAATAGAATTCAATCAATGTAATTTATCCATCGTAATCATTGTACTGTGACTGTGTGAATGCATGATCTTGTCCTTTAGGAAATATCCACTCACATATTGAGGGATAAAAGAACGTGAAGTATGCAGCTCACTTCCAAATATGTGTGTATGCATTGATATAGAGAAAAATGATATAGCAAATACAGACAATGTTAACAATTAGTGAATCTAAGTAAAAAGTATACAAGAATTTTTATACTATTCTTATAATGTTTTTTTCAAATATCAAAATAAAAACTTTCTTAAATTAAGAATATACTTTCAACTAATAAAAGAAGATGGCATAAAACATAGTAAATGGGCTTGAATTTCTCAAGAGGCCTGCAAGAAGAGAATGGAATGATATATTCAAAGTGCTAAAAGAAAGAAACTACCAACCAGAAATACTTTGCCCAGCAAAACAGTCCTTCAGAAATGAAGGCAAGACTTTCCCTAATAAACAAAAGCTGAGGGAATTCATCACCACTAAACCTGCCTGACCAAAAAAAAAAAAATGCTGATAGAAAAATTTCAAGATTAAATGAAAGGGCACTAATTAGTAACATGAAAACATTTGAAAATAAACAACAGACTAGTAAACATGAGACTATTGTCAGATTCAGGCTACCCTAATACTGTTATAAGGTGATATGTTAACTACTTAGCTCTAGTATAAAGATTAAAGAACAAAGGTATTAAAAATAGCTATAGCTACAAATCATTGTTAATGTATACACAGTATAAAAAGATGTAAATAGTGACATCAAAAACAAAAGGGGTGAGTAAAAGGATAGAGTGTATGCAATCAAAAAGTTAAATTGTTAGCAGAAAATAGACTAGAGTAAAAAGATACAAAGACCAGTAGAACAGAATCAAGAGCCAGAAAAAAACCTCATATAGCAGTCAATTAATTTTTGACAAGGGGGAAGGACAGTTTCTTCAATAAATATATTGGGAAAATTGGATAAATAAGAACAGAAGAATAAAATTGGACCCCTATCTTATATCACTCAAAAATTAACTCTAAATAGATTAAAGACTTCAACATAAGACCTGAAATGGTAAAATTCCTAGGGGGGAAAAAAAAAAGCAACACGGATCTGGCAACAATTTTTGTGTATGATACCCAAAGCATAAGCAACAAAAGTAAAAATGAATATGGGACTACATCAAACCGAAAAGTTTCTGCACAGCAAAAAAAACAGTCAACAAAATGAAAAGGCAACTTACAAAATGGGAGAAAATATTTGTAATTCATATATCTGACAAGAGGTTAATATCCAAAATATACAAAGAACTCATACAACAATAGCCAAAAAAATCTGATTTTCACTCCGACCAAAGACCTGCTACCTCATCTGCAGACTCACAGACTCCAGGACTCCTGCCTCCCCAGTCACAAACTCCTGTGAGTCCCGGAGTATGATCCCTCCCACCAAGCCCACCTCTTCAGCCGCAGGCCCCACGCTACCTGGCGCCTGGGCCCAAGGGCAAGTCCCAGAGTGTGCAACCCTCCCACCAAGCCTGCCGCTTCAGCCACAGGCCCCATGCTACCCAGCGCCTGGGTCCTGTGGAGAGTATCATAGTGCGTGATCCTCCCGCCAAGTGGGCTGCTTCAGCCACAGGCCCCATGCTACCCAGCGCCTGGGACCTCCAAAGAGTCCCGGAGTGTGTGACCCTCCTGCCAAGCCCTCTGCTTCAACCACAGGCCACATGCAACTTGGCACCTGGACTCTTCAGTGAGAGCAAAAATGGGGAGACAAAGAAACAACCCCCAAAGGAAAGAAAAGGGGGAATCCGTAGGAAAGGAACTAAATGAAATGGAGGCATGCAGTATGTCAGAAAAAGAATTCAGAGTAAGGGTCACATAGTTCCTAAACCAGCTGGATGAGAACATCAACAATTTATGTAAGAATCAAGAGAAAATCAAGAATGATATAACTACAATAATAAACACAATGGAAGGTTTCAACAGCCGACTAAAAGAAGCAGAGACCGAATTAGCGAGTTAGAAGACCGGGCAGAAAACATACCAATCTGAACAATTGGAGAAGAAATTAGAAAGCAGAAGAAGAGCCTAAGGGAGGTTTGGGACAACATGAAACGAAGTAGCTTCTGTATAATAGGGGTGCCAGAATGATAAGAAGAGGAGCAAGGATTAGAAAACATATTGAAAGAAATAATGACAGAAAACTTCCCTGATTTGGGGAAGAGAAAAGTCACACAAGCACAGAGAGTCCTAAACAAGATGAACCCCAAAAGACCCACACCAAGACATGTCATAATTACAATGGCAAACATTAACAACAAAGAGAGAATCTTAAAGGCTGCAAGAGAGAGACAGAGTTACCTACAGGAGATCTCACATCAGGTTATCAACTGATTTCTCAACAGAAACACATCAGGCCAGAAGGGGATGGATTGAAGTATACAAAGTGATGCAAAGCAAGGGACTGAATCCAAGAATACTCTATTCAGCAAGACTATCATTCAAAATTGAAGGGGAAAACAGGAGCTTCGTAGACAAAAAAAAGGCTAAGGGAGTTTATCACTATCAAGCCAGCAACACAAGAAATGCTAAAGCAGCAGTTCTCAACCTGTGGGTCGCAACCCCTTTGGGGGTCGAACGACCTTTTCACAGGGGCTGGTGGTTAACAGGGGCTGGGGCAGGGAAATGGGGAGATGGTAAAAAGGTAAAGACTTCTAGTAATAAGATGAGTAACTTCTAAAGATCTACTGGTAATGCACAGCATAGTGATTATAGCTAAAAATACTGTATTATATACTTGAAATTTGCAAAGTGAATAGATCTTAAATGCTCTCACCATAAAAAAGAAATGGTAATTATGTGATTTGATAGAGCATTAGATAATGCTATGGTGATCGTCTTGCATACATCAATGTATCAAATCAACAAGTTGTGCACCTTAAATATACACAAGATTACATATCAATGATATCGCAATAAAGCTGGGAAAAAATGGCCTTGGAAAAAAAGAAAAGTGTTGTAGATACCTATGCCATATGTACATACCTGTCTGCATTCATGTTAGACTGAGAGTTATCCAACTCATTCTCACTTTCCTCTGACTGGCTGTTAACAGTTTCTTCTTCTTCTTCATCTATTTCGTTAAGAGCCTTTCTCAACATAAAAATAAGAATAACAACACAAGTTGGTTATATGCACACTCATTCTTTTTTTTTCTTTTTTTCATAACAGAAGAGAGGTCCCTCTTTCTAAGGCTACTCCATGTGTTTTACAACCCAAATCCTCTCACCTCCTCCACTCCACCAATTTCCCTTCTCCTCCTCCATCTTCAACCTCTCCCTCTGTACTGGCTTCAGCTCATCCACATTTAAATGTGACCAGGTCTCTCCTATCTTATCCTGACCCTATTCTCCCTCAAGCTACTATTTATCTTCTCTCTTTCACCACCAAACTTGTAGAACAAGTTGTCCCCCACTCCCATTCGCCATCTATGCCCTGCCACCTTGCTTCTGCTCTGCCACTCCACTCAGACTGCTCTCTACAAGTCAACATCAAAACACTGGTTCTTAAATCTAATGGATATTTTTCAGTCTTTGCTTTCCTTTATTTCTCTAACTCATTTAGAGAAATGAGATATTAATGACCACTCATTTCTTTCTTGATCCACTCCTCCTTTTAACTTCCATTATACCATATTTTCTTGGTTCTTCTATTCTCTTGTCTGTTCCTTCCCAATCTCCTTTACTGGTGCTTTTTCTAGGCCTCCCTTATATCTGATATGACTCCAGGTCCTTCCTTTGGACCCTTATTCTCCTCTCAACTGACTCACTTTCTGAATGACTGTATTTAATTTCAACGCTGCAATTACAAGTCAAATGCTATTAATTTGCAATTCTCTATCTTTCTTGAGCCCTGGACATTATTATCCAACTGCCTAAATGCCTAAAAACTTTCAATGGTAAATCATCCTACACACACATATTCAATAGCTCTAAAACAGCTCATCCTCCTTAGCCTCTCCTGTCATTCCTACCAGATTACCTAAGACCATAAACAGTATCACCATTCATTCAGATGCTCAAGCAAGCAACTGGGAATTATTTGTCTTTCTCATTTGTCACATCCAATCAGCCACCCAATCCTGTCAATTCCACCCCTTTTTTTACTCTCACACCCCATCCCTCTTCCCTTCGATCTTCTTCCCTACTGCCACTGCTTTGGGACAGGTCCTCACCACTTCTCACTAAGACTCCAACCTGAGTCTTCTAACCAGATCCTCTCGCCAGTTTTGTCCCTCCCAGTCCATCTTCCACACGACAGCCGATTTCATCATGTCTCAGTTCTCAACATCCTTTAGTGCAGAGGTGGGGAACATTTTTCTGCCAAGGGCCATTTGGATATTTATAAAGTCATTCTCGGGCCATACAAAATTATCAGCTTAAAAATTGGCCTGCTATATTTGGTCAAATATTTCATTAAATCACCCCAAATGCCTTGGCAGGGCCAAACCAAATATTCCGAGAGCTTTATACAGCCCTCGGGCCTGACGTTCCCCACCCCTGCTTTAGTGGCTCTACTCTTACTTTCATAACCTAACTCCATCCTGTCTCTCTAACCTCAGCTCTTGCCACTTCTCCCCATGATAGAGTCCACGATTATCTGAAAGCTATGGTTTTAATAAGTGCCAAAATATAAATGGTTTTTACCTAGGGACACAGTAATGGGTTTTGGCTATTTAAAATATATGTAACATTCTATTGAATTATCTTTGTAAGAAAACAGTGTACTTTACAAGTCTTTAATTATTCTGGACCTTACAATTCCCTAGGATCATCCCTCTAATTGATGATTCCCTTTTCTCATAGAAGATATGAATAACGAGGAAATTGCATTAAACAGGTACTGAGTCCTAATCATTTATAAGAAGTTTTATTTATTTTTTTAATATATCTTTATTGATTTCAGAGAAAAAAGGAAAGGGAGAGAGATTGAAACATCAATGAGAGAGAGAATCATTGATCAGCTGCCACCTTCATGTGCCCCCCCCACCCCGCCCCCATTGGGGATTGAGCCCACAACCCAGGCATGTACCTGACAGGGAATCAAACCATGACCTCTTGGTTCATAGGTCAATGCTCAACCTCTGAGCCACAATGGTGTTTTATTTTATTTTATTTTATTTTATTTTATTTTATTTTATTTTATTTTATTTATATCTTTAATGATTTCAGAGAGGAAGGAAGAGGGAGAAAGAGATAGAAATATCAATGATCAGAGAGAATCGTTGATCAGCTGCCTCCTGCACACCCCACACTGGGGATTGAGCCCACAACTGGGCATATGCCCTGACCGGGAATCGAACCATGACCTCCTGGTTCATAGGTTGACACTCAACTACTGAGCCACTCCAGCTGGGCCAGAGTTTTATTTTAGTATTAAGTTCTTCATGGGCTTTTAAAAAATGTTTTAATTGATTTCAGAGAGAGAGGAAGGGAGAGAGAGAAATATGAATGTGAAAGAGAAACAACAATCGCTGCCTCCTGCATGCCCACTACCAGAGATCGAGCCCACAACCTAGGCAATGGACCCTGACCGGGAATCAAACCAGCGACCTTTTGGTGCATGGGATGACAACCAACCAACTGAGCCACATTGGCCAGGGCTTCATGGGATTTTAAAAAATGTTTACTATCTCAAAATTCTAGACATTTTGATTAATTAAGAGTTCTAATTACATTAGGATACAGCTAGTTAATGTTTTAGTGTTATAATATAATTGTCCCATATAACTAGTCAATAAATGCCAAGTTTCCTGGGTAGCTCTTTTTAAACATACTAATACATTAGAAGAAACAACCATAGCATGTATATTCTATTTAACAAAAAACACTCTAAGCCAACTCAGATACCTTAAGAAATTAATTCAAGATCAAACACCTAGTAAGTAGCAAAATATGAACACAGATCCAACTGACTTCAAAGCGGAAGCCTCCTTGCTGTTTCCATACTGGCAGCTGGTGGCAGCAGTCTTATGGAGCTAGGCAGTCTAGATTTGAATGTCATCTCTGATGCTAACTAGCTATGTGATCTTGGACAAGTCACTTAGAAATTTTCTGAACCTGAGTTTTTTTAATCTGCTAAATGAGGATAATAGCCTATCTCTAGGTAAGTGCTCAGTAAGTGTTAGCTATTATTATCCAGCCCTATCTTGTTTAGTACAAACACTATACTCATAGAAGGTGCAATATGATTAAGAACAATTCCAACAACCACAACTTTGTATTTGTTGGCATTTAAGCTTTTGAAATGCTTACCACAATACCTACATCAACTTAAACTTAATTTCAGCATGAGCATTTTGGCTGTAAGCAGAGCACATTACCTGAGGCTCCACAACAGAGTCACCAAGGATGGCCTGGGTGACGGGGTCTTGATTTAGCACAATGGGCCCTTGAGAGGAATCAGGAGCCACTGTTACATTCGGAAACCCTGCAGAAGGAAAATGCCATGATGACTTTGTTTCATTTCACTAATGTAATTTCACAAGCACTAAACACTTCCATAGGTTTGTATCAGAATATGAAAATCTTTAATGGCAACAGCAGCTCACTCTTATACAGTACTTACTATATACCAGGTGTAGTTCTAAGTGCTTTTACATATATTAAATAATTTTACCCTGACAAAATCCTATGAGATTGTTACTATTATTATTTTACAGATCAATAAACTGAAACTCAGAAACCTGAAACTCAGAAACTGAAACTCAGAAAACTGGACCAGAGTCGCACTGATAATAGGCTGAGCCAGGATTCAACCCTTAAACTAAAAATTAATTATTTCTTTTTAGGGATTAAAATAAAAAATGGATTATATACTCATTATGAATAATACTGTATTAGGAGGTGGGAAGTTCCTCTCAGAGAGAGACATGTTGCTTTAGATTTCAAATTAAGTTTTACTCAACTTACATATAAACAGATACTTCAATTATATGATAACTTAATATTAATAAATGAAAAATCAAGTCCTATTTTAAATTATAAAATCTTGTACACTACACCACAAAATATTTTAGTAGATAATAACACTACTTTTCCTTAGTTGAGTAATTTGTAATAGTTAAGATTATCAGTGAAAAGCAAACAAATTATAATGAATGTATGCCTAATAACTCTTATATGCTATCCACTCTAGAATACTTGTAATATAAATAATATAATGCCTGAAAAAAATATTTTAAATTCTTCCAAAGCCATTTGTGCTATAATTAAAAAAAAA